GGGGCGCTCTCCTGGCGGGGCAGGCTCACGGAGGACAGCAGCGTGAAGGCGTTGTTCCAAAAAGCGAGGGGCACCTGCCGCAGACCTGGCCTGAGCACCTGGACGCCGTGCGCCCTTCACCCCCCTGACCCCAGCCTCCCCGGACTCAGGCGGCTCACCTCAGGGCGCCCATCAGCGGCCCGGGCCACAGTGTCCGCCGCGGCTTGCATCGTGTGGTAGCGGATGTCGTCGTGTTCCAGGTACTCCCGGAACTGACAGAGCAGCAGGGAGCGGTCCTCTTCTGGAGAGAGCAGGCCTCCTACCACCGACTGGGGGAGAGAGGGAACAAGGTGGTGAGCACCTCTCTGACCCCCAGGACAGGCGGCCCAGGTGTGGAGCTCACATAGCAGTCTGGTGGGGGGGGCTTCCAGAGTCCCCCCCAAAACCCACAGGCAGCCGGGGAGACCCCCAAGCGGGCAGCTTGGGCCTCACCTTGAAGAGCTGGTAGGGGAACAGATAGTTGCCTTCCCACTTGGGCTTCTCCAGGGGGTGTTCGCCCTCCAGCTGCACGAACTTCATAAGCGTGCTGAGGACCAGCTCCTAGGAGGGGTGGCAAAGGGACCGCGAGGCTCCCGCCACATGTCACCCCTGCAGACAGGCCCACAGAGCTCCCCCGGCCCTCAGGCCTGAATACCCGCAAGATAAAGCTCCTGTGAGAATCAGGAGACAGGACGGACGCAGCCACACCCAGAGGAACCAGCCACAGAAAGAGACAGCACCCTCACCTGGACCGGCACCTGCAGCCACGGCCCCAGTCCCCTCGCAGACCCCTGCTGTGTGGAGAGCCTGGGGTCGGGCTGCACGCGCAAGCAAGGCTAGTGGCCCAGACTCACCTTGACCCGAAAGGAGGAGCGAGCCAAGAGCTCCCCCAGGCGGTTGCAGCAGCTGTGGTACCGGTGCCGCATCCACACCCTGTACTTGCGAGTGGCCCCCCGGGACCCTGCAGGTGGGGCAGGGCGGTCAGCCCACACCAATGCCCGCACACGCCAGACGGGACCCAGCCCCACCCTCCCCCTGCCCTCTACTCAGCCCAGCCAAGAAATGAGTGAAAACGAGTCACTGTAGCTCCAGACCTGGGGCAGGACCAGCATGTTCCCCCAGGCAGGATCCTCTCTCCTTTCACCCTAAGACCCAGATGCGCCAAGGACTGAGACACATAACTCTAAACCTCCGTGGAATCAACAGTCAACTATACGTATCATCAAATCCCACAAGAGGCACAAAACAAACAGTCACGCCCCTCCCAACCTTTACTTAACACCTGGCTTCAACGTCCCTATTACTCACCCCTTCCCCCAAACACAATCTCCCGATCCTACCGACCCGCATGGCCTATAATGGGGTTTTTTTGGGGGGGACTCATCCCATGTTAGCAAGGTCCCCCTCTAACCTTGTAAGAGACCAGGCCCTCCTGGACACTGACCTGCCATGACCATCTCCTCAGAGGGCAGCTGGCCCACAAACAGCTCTCCGCGGGCCAGCAGGGCCCCGAAAAGTCGGCTGCATGCACGCACCGCTTCGTGGATCTCCTCCTGGTCCTCAGACTGCGGGGAGATGCCGGTCGCGGGGTGCCCCGCCTGGAGCTGTGGCCCCTGCCCCCTTTCCCGACCAGGACCGCAGCCCCACCCGACCCCACCCCTGAGCCCGCGTGACTCTTCTATCCCACCTCTGCCAAACCCCGCACCAGACCCTCCAACCTGGGAGCTCTGCGAGACTGGAGAAGACCCCCAGTAAAGTCCTGAACTCCGCTTTGCAATTATCTGCCGCATTCCGAACCCAAGCCCCACCTCGTCAGAGCCCGAGAAGGCCCCCATTCTGGTCTCCAACCCCGGGACCAGGCCGCGACCCCCGCCGCTCCCCACGGGCCCCCACCTGCAGCACGGCCAGGATGTCGAACACGGTGTTGGCCTTGCCTCGGTTGGCCAGCACCGCCTCCACCAGGCGGCCCAGCGCCGGGCGCGCGCCCCCAGGGCCGGTTTCCCGCTCCATGCCGCCGCCCCACGCGGCAGAGACCACACCAGCCGCCCAACGGCTCCGCCTCCCGGCGCGCCACTGACGTCACCGCCGGCGCCTGATGACGTCGCCCCGTCGCCCGCCCCCCTCCGTCATCGTGGCGCGTCGGGCCGGACTGGCGCGCGGCGGGTGGCATGGCGCTCTTCCACGTTGCGCGGTACGCGGGCCCGGAGACGGCCTCGTCGGAGGCCGAGGCCGAGGCCGAGGCGGACGGCCGGGCTCGCGCACTGCTGGAGCGGCTGCGATGCCGGGCCCGAGAGCGGCAGCTGCAGAAGCAGCCGCCGCAGCAAGAACCCTCGGAGCCCGCGGAGGCCGCGCAGACCGCGCAGGCGGCGGGGAAGCGGCGACGGCGACCGCGCAGAACGCGGAGGCGCAAGAGCGGTGGGGCGCCGGGGAGCCCGCACGCATCTCCCTGCAAGCGGCGGAAGGCGGACGACGAGGATGAGGACGCGGGCGCAGGTAGGGCCTCGCGGGGCGGGGCCCTGGGACTCGGGACCGCGTGGGGCTGACGCGCCGCCCCGCCCCCGCTTCTGCCGCGCAGAGAGCAGCGAGGAGGCGCCGGCGGGGAACAGCGTGGGCGCCGAAGCCGCGGGGTCGCCGGAGGGCCAGGGCGGACCGCCCCCCGAAGAGGCCTCTGGTCCCCCAGCCCATGCCCTGGTGCTCGGGGGCTTCAGGAGGAGCAAGGCGCCAAAGGTGAGCGGCCCGGGGGAAAGGCTGCAGCGCTGGGGTGGCTGTCGTTACCGCGGCTTGTGTTCGTGGGACGGCTTGGCGGACGGTGCTTGCGCCTGATGGGTGTATGGTTTGTGTTCGGTGAGTGAACACCTGAGCCGCCCGACTGCTGATGTCTTAGCATCCTTGTTTACGGTTTGAATCCTGTGCAAACTCGGCACTTCTTTCAGTTGTAAGAGTTCTCTTTTTCTTCCGAAACCAGCGGGTTGATTTGGTTTCTGTGCTGCTGTCACAGAGATCGCTCCTCGGTGCACATTTAAGGAGCTTCCACTGTGCTCACCAATCTAGCGAACAAAATGGGAGATTCTACCAGGTTTCTGGGCGAGTTGCAGTTTCATGTCAGCATAAGATTTCAGTAGTCGAATATGTGAGCTAAAGGATGTCTGGAGCGTGATCATCATCATGAAGAATAGGAGAGGCTGGGCAGAGTGCCCTTGGGGAGATCGCCTTTGAGTTGGAATCAGAAGACAGGGATCGGCCTGGTTGAGGTGGGGTGGGGGCAGGGAAGTGTGTGCCAGGGAGAGGGCCGAGTTGGGGCAAAGGCCCCAAGGTAGCAATGAGCTTGTTGTGTAAAACGACAGAGGGTTTGTATGGTTGGTGCAGAGCCAGTGATAGCAAACAAAAGCGCGGGCAGGAGAGTGCCAGGTCACGGACACCTTGCAGGTGTAGTCCGGAGCACAGGTGTCATTGGAGCACGGGCGTTATTAGGTGCGAAGGCGAGCCCCTGGGTGGTTTGGCTCAGGGAGTGGCGCTTTTTGGAATGTATTTTTCATGCCCTTTAAAGGCTTCACGGAGAGTGAGACGTGGGAGGTCTAGGAAAAGCTAGAAAGCTTGCCTCTTTCTTGCATTCTTGCAGCCTTTTCAGCCTGTTTTGAGCACTTGGCTTATGGGGCCTTGCTTTGCTGGCCTGGTGGGTTTTGGAGTATTCACCTCGTCTCTTTCTCT